GGTTGGGCTGGGGGACCTCTAGGGGTCCCTTCCCACCCAAAACATTCTATCACTCTATGATTCTATGAAAGTGCTGGAAATCCAGAAGCAAGCCCGCTCACTGAGTAACAGCCCGAGTGACGGACACCGGTGTCGTTTCACCGCAGCTGCACAGGGAGCAGCATCGCTGTTGCCCTGCGCGGGGCTCCCCTCCGCTCCCTCGCACGCAGGGATTTCCCGTATCGCTTTTTGGTTTCTCTATGGAGAATGGGCATTTTCGAGCCACCCTTCCAGGCTGTTTGCAAGCCCGACTGAAATTCCAGCTACGGGGTCCCATCCATCAGCTGGATGCTGAACCCTCAAAAGCTGTCTCCAGGAGCGGCTGTACCGGCCGTGCTCTAGGCTCCAGCGGGATGCTCCAGCGGGATTTATGGGCTGTGCTCCCTGCTGTGATTTTTCAGGGTGCAGTTGGGTGTCTGCTCGAGGAACGAGCTCAGCCAGTCCAACTGACTGCGCGAGCCATCAGCAGTGGTTTCAGCAAACGTGTCGGACGGGGCATGGAGATGAGCGCTCCTCCACGCCATCTGGTTCCACACCTCAGCCAAGGTGTGTCAGCTCCTTAAATCCTCCTGGCTGCTCACAAGCCACCCTCCATGTCAGCAGGGGTGTCGATGCATGGAGACCATGGGGTCCCCTCCAGGCCCCCCCCCCACCCCGAGAGCTGGGGCATCACCCTGTGTAGGATTTCATGGTCAGGGTCTCCACATGCCGAACGCTGGCTGTGCCCAGCATGGCTCGCATGGGGTCCCATGGGTGCTGTGGGCTTTCTCCGAGGCACAACCCTAACTCGGGTGCTGCATCCCTCCCCCCAGGTGTGCCAGAAGTCGGGGGAGATCTCCCTCCTGAAGCAGCAGCTGAAGGAGTCCCAGACGGAGCTCAACACCAAGACCACCGAGATCCTCAGCCTGAAGGCTCAGCTGAAGGAGGTGAGGGTGAAGATGGAAGGGCTGGAGATGAAGACCCAGGACCTGGAGGGCTCCCTGCGCACCAAAGCCATGGAGCTGGAGGTGTGTGAGAATGAGCTCCAGCGCAAGAAAAACGAGTCCGAGCTGCTGAGAGAGAAAGTGAACCTGCTGGAGCAGGAGATCGTGGACCTGCGGACGGAGCTCGCCATCCTCAAGGAGCAGCTGAGCGAAGCCCGGGAGGTGGCCAGGCCCTGCGCCATGGTGGACGATGCTCAAGCCCTGCAGGGAGAGGTGGAGAGGCTGAGGGCAGAGCTGAAGGCTGAACGGGACAACAATGAGCAGATGACGTCTGGCTTCCAGCACGAGCGGCAGACGTGGAAGGAGGAAAAGGAGAAGGTGATTCACTACCAGAAGCAGCTGCAGCAGAGCTACCTACACATGTACAAGAGGAACCAGAACCTGGAGAAGATGCTCCAGCAGCTCGCCGCGGGGGAAGACGGCAAGGAGCCCATCGAGCTGGACATACCCGGCGCCGACGTCCCCTACGAGGACATCATCGCCACCGAGATCTGAGCCAGGTCTGCCTTCTCCTCCTTGCAGCTCGGGGGCGGGCGCCTCTCCCAGGCGAGAAGCGCTGCCCTGCAGCTCGGCCCGCGCCTTGTACAGTTCAGATGAGCCATGTATTTATTAGCAGAGCTGGTGGCCTGGCCAGCTCCCCAGCCCTTCTCCCCTCCCCGCCTCGCACCGCGGCAATGCCCTCCGCTGCCTGTCGTGTTACAGAGGTGAACAAGCAACTCGTGCCAATGGTGACGTGCCAGCAGCTCCCCCCTCGCCCCCGCTGCCGCCTTGGCAGCGCCCCTTCTGCCCCCTGGTAGGACTGAGAAGCTGGCGATGGGGGCGGTCAGGGAACAGGACTTCAGAAAATAATCTCCCGTCGGGTAATGAGATGATGCAAAACTCCCAGGGGATGCTCTGCTCCAGGCTCGGAGGGATCCCGGGACACCGCAGCCCTTTGAGAGGAATCGGCCAGGGCACATTTCCAGCCGCTCCCCCGGAGGAAGCTCTGTGCTGCTCTCGCACCTCCTTAACCTTCCTCCGGTCGGTGCTGATCTCCAGGGCGCCGTGGGACCAAGGAGCCACCTCCCGCCGCTGGCGCAGGCTGCACGTCCACTTCTCCCGTCCTTCGGCTGCTGTAGAGCCTCAGGAAGGACCCTACCTGTGCACACACACACACACACCTCTCGCTACAGCCAACACCCCCACCAAAATCACCTTTCACTAACGAGCACAGCCCACCCACACCCATCCCATCCCTTGGCCACGGCCGCACCGGCACGTGCCTCCTCCCTGGACCTGTGCAGCCACGGGAGCCCAGCGTTCCCCGATCTGACGGACGAGGACTCGGTGTCCCTTTCCTACAGCTGCCAGACAGGCGACTGGATTTAAGAATTAAGAGAAATTTCCAAGCCACAGTCTGACCCGAGGAATTGAGGGGAAAATGGGTTGTGGTTGCCCCACAACCCCACGTGCTCTCGCTTGCTGCGCCTGTCCCTCCCGGGAACCCCGGTTGCCTTATCCCCCTCCCGTGCCCTTATGTTCACGGGATCCCATCGACAGGAGCTGGTTAAAACCCCCCACTTCCATTTTGTTTTCTATGCCAGCTCTTAAAATTTCCTCTGCCACCCCCAAGCAGATAACAAGGCTCCACCGCACATCCAGCGGTGACTCTCCTGTCCCCCTGCAGCTCGGCAGGGGCTGGGAGAGAATCAGCCGGCATCCAGCTCGCTGGGGTGGAGGTCTCCAGCCAGGCCCACTTTGTGCTAGTGCAATGGTATTTTTACTGCAGTATGTTTGTTTACCCACTAACGAGCTGGGCACGAACCTGGGAAGCCCCGTCCCAGGGTTGGGGGGG